ATTCACCTTTTTCTCCTTCAACCACTGTGTGGTCAGGTGTGCTGTGTGCTTTGGGTCATTGTCATGTTGGAAGGTAAACCTTCTTCCCATTGACAACTTTCTGGCTGAGGGCAGCAGATTTTCCTCAAGAATTTGACAGTATTTTTCCCCATTCATTGTTCGTTCTATCCTGACAAGTGCTCCAGTCTCTGCTGCAGAGAAATACCCCCATAACAGGATATTACCACCTCCATGCTTTACTGGAGGAATGCTGTTATTTGGATTGTGAGCTGTGTTGGATTTCAGCCAGATATATCGTTTGGTGTTGAGGCCAAATAATTAAATTTTAGTCTCATCTGTCTCAGAATCTTCTAGGTGTGTTTTGGCAAAGCTCAGTCATGACTAAATGTGGCCTTTCTTGAGGAGCGGCTTTTTCTTGCAACCCTCCCATACAAGCCACATTTATGGAGAATTTGTGATATTGTTGGCACATGCACACAATGACCACTTTGTCATAAATTTCAGCAACTGCTTCAGAGTTGCTGTAGGCCTCTTGGTAGCCTCTCTAACCAGTTTCCTCCTGGCTCTTTCATCCAGTTTGGAGCAACGTCCTGATCCAGTATTGTACCAAATAACTTCCACTTCTTAATAATAGACTTCACTGTGCTTCTAGGCATTGATAAAGCCTTTGCACTTTTTTTGTATCCATCTCCTGACTTGTACCTGTCCACAACTTTATTCCAGAGATCTTTTGACAGTGCCTTTCCACCCATAGCTGATTGTTTGCTTCAGTTGCACTACCAAGAACTGAAATGCTGCAGAAAAGCTCTTTTCATGCTGAGCTGATCAAAATGACCACAGAAGATCACAGCTGAAAGTCAAATTGCACCTTCACCTGATTGAGATTACGAGTCATTTTTAGGAGGGGGGTGATTTTTTTTTCCAACTCAGTGATTCTGTTTTTTTTTTTTTCTTCTTTTATGACATGTTGCTGTTATATTTTTCACTTGGAAGCTATAAGTTGCACAGAGTAAATACAATTGGATAAAACAAAAACTGCATCCATCTTCATATCAGGCTGCAAAGCAACAAGCAACAAAATGTGATTATTTTAAAGGGGGTGATTCTTTTCTATACCCAGTGTGTGTGTGTATATATTTCCATTTTTATAAATTTTTTTCAGAAATCACGTTTTTTATTGCGCATTCCAAGTAATCTCAATCAAATTGCAGTTGGGTTGTTTTGATTAAGTAATAATAACTTAAACAAATACAAGTAATTTACAAAATTAAAGTTCATTGAAAGTATGTTTTTTTTTACATATTAAAAGTTTGTTTGATGGCAAAAGCAGATAACTCCAACAGTCGTTTTTTGGCAAAAGCAGATAACTCCACATTTTATGTTTTAAAGTTGAAAAAAACCCACTCGTTTAATCTTTGTAATCTCCTCAGATGACCATGTAGATGTCTGACAAACGTAGTTGTTGTTGTGATCATAAACTGTATGGATGTGATTACACGCAATACACAGAGCTTTTCCCTCACAATTGTAACGCGCTGCTTTTGCAAGGTTCCGTGAAAATTTTCCCGCTTTTATTTTCCTTTTTCGCCCTGAAGGAGATATCACAGGTTCATCAAGTTCGTCAAAATTATCCATCCTCGACAGGGGCGTGGGAAGATGCTTTCGGTTGGGGGTGCTGTGTGTGTCCATTTGTTTTTTAAAGTGGCATTTATCGGTTTTTGCAAATTAACTCTTCATATATATATATGTATATGTATGTGTGTGTGTGTATATATATATATATATATATATATATATATATATGCATGTATATATTTTATGCTAATGTCAGAATGAAGTGTGTATTTTTCGTTTTGCACTTCAGCTTAATTTTTACATCAAGTACATTAACTGTGCAGACTCATTTTAATTATATCCGTGCATTTGGAAATTGTGCTGTGATGAATCTGAAAGGAAAGTAGAGCTTTGGCTAATTTAAAAAAAATAATAATTTGCATGTAACTTTCAAATAATCATCTTGTTTTGCTTGCTATTGAAGCAGGATAGCTGTAGGTGTACTGACATCAGAAGCGCTGCTGGATAAGGCTTTTGTTCTGGAACATGTTCTGGCTTGTGATATAATCATGCCTGAACTGTATCTGGGGAGATGGAGGTAAGATAGCATCTCTGAACGTCCTGCCGCAGATCTATGGATCTGCCATGCTCATACATAATGAAGCAGCGGTGAAGAAACGCAGTCACTTTCCACATCGGCCCACACTGGTGGACAGTGCAAACTCACTCCCCACTGAGATATAAATGGGAAATAGAAGAAAAAAAGGGGTAATAGAAAAGGAGAGATTGTGGTGATGGACAACAGAATGAATAAGAAACAATAAAAAAACAGGCCCCCTTTGATGCATGTTCTCTGCGGGACACTGGCTTTTCAGCTTTCTCCTTTTTAATTACTCGGCAGCACTGTGGTTTAAAATAGAAACAGTAGAACAAAAGAAATTGGTGATTATTAAGGGTTAAAATATCCACAACACCCCGAAGACACCAACCGTAACGTGCAATCCTGCAGAAGCCTCCAGTGCTGAGAGGTGCATGTAGATTAAATAGCATGGAAACTGCATTTCCATGTATTATTTGTAACCCTGAAGGATATTTTACAAACACTCTTTAACATTAGGCTCTGCAAATTTACAGTAGCACTTTGAAATTGTTATTTTTTGGGAATACATCAGTTTAGGTGAACAAACCATTCTCCTGAAGTTCCATGCATTGTTCGTTTACTGCAGTATCTCTTTTGCAGCGTGTCAGTTTCCTGCCTTTCAATGGACTGAATGTTTTGATGCATCTTGTTTGTTAATGTGGATCTGCTGACTGACTGAATGAAAGGGTGTTTGTCGATCATTCAGTTTGGCATGTGAGTCAATCTTGATCACAGATATGAGAGAAAGGAGTGGAAGAATTGCCACTACAGTATGTGTTTTTGAAGGAATCAGCTCAGTGAATGAGTCAATGACTCATAACACACACAAATAAACCTTTTTATTCAATGGACTCAAAAAGATG